CTATATGTTGTCTCGCTTAATTTTACAATTTTTAATATTTAATACTATGTATCGTGCTGTTGGAAGACATAACATACCTGTACAGTATCCTGTTTCTGTAAAAATACAACTTGACATGATTATTATACTGTACTTTCTTTACAGTATTATTATAATATAATTGTAAAACAAACTCTTTTTCACGCACGGTTTTGGTTTTGTTTGGCTTAACCAGGGTCTACCGGATATATATCAACTCCTTTTTAGATTATTTTGAGAACAGACTTGAAAATAATTATGTTCAAATACCTGAAGATTACAACTTTTGTTGAAAAGTATGCATTTTTATTTGAATATCAAAGAGCCAACTTATACTTAGTATTATATTAGTAGTTGCAAACATTAAATACAGACGATGTATTACAATGTTTAGAACAGGGTCTCATAATTTGAATGTTAACGGTGGAATGAAGAAGGCCTTTATATATTCAATTTATTTTTGCTGAACAAAGTAGATGTATACCTTACCCTTTCTGTTTAATTTTCCTGCTTATAAATCAGAAAGAGAGTCATTATTGCCGTGCACGGACAATAAAAATAAGATAATATGAACGTGGGGTACTGTAAACGCTGAATTGTTTTACAATTGTTGAGAAAATTTGAAATATTACTTCCAGTTCCTAGCCTAATCAACTAAATCAACCCCCTTTCACCATCTTTAAAGTAATTTTAACTCTGCACTGGATATTATTAATTTGATCTGGAAAAAGATCAGTGCAATGACTACTGTAGATGTAATATTAATTTTTTTTTTCTTTTTTTTTTCAGGTTTCATGCTAACATGTATTTTACTCATAAATTTTGCTGTTAAACAAGGTAATTCTTTTTGGCATGGTTGTGGTGCAGGTTTTTTCATGTCAGATGCAGACATGCCAACCACTCCGATTTCGGCGGAGTTACTCTGTTTATTTAAGCAAAACTCCGCACTCCGATTTTTGGTCGAAAATCTCCGCTTTTTACGCATTTTGGCCAGGTGAAATAAATCGCTCATTTCCGAATAAAAATGATAATCCTCTAATTTAGATAAGAACAAGACCACTTAATTTCATCCTGAAAACAGCGCTCTGAACTGTAGGCCCTATACAAAATAGTAATTCGCGCTCTACGGTCTACTGATTTCGGAAAAACCAATTTCATTGACACCAAATTGCTGTCAGAGTTGCACTCTGAACTGTATACGAAAAATTAATTCGCGCTCCACGGCTACTGATTTTAGGACGCGAAATATCACGATTTTTGTGTCACCTGTGTATAATCCGCACTTATTGTTAAGCTTCAAACCGTTCCCATAATGTTAAGTTTTTAATTATTTTTAAACATTGACATTATTTACAAATGTCAACATCAAACAACTGGAAATGCATGTAAACTTCTGGCTACTGCAATGAAAAAACCTCTCTTGCTCTAGGGAAATCCCTATTTTCATTCTAGACGGTCGCGATACATTAAATTTTCCAACATCAGTTTAGTTTAAAATAAAATACTTATTGAGTATGTTTATCTATTTTAAACAATCATTCCATTATTATGGTGACTAATAACAGTCGGTATAATACTGACTGTTGTTAGTCACCATAATAATAGAATGATTAAGCTAAATATATTGGTTATTCTTGGCCTAAGTCATTACTACTCACAGCCCACTGTGCGGAGCGGCTCGCGATCTGAACTTTTTTGGAGTAGGTTAATGACCGGTGTATAGGCCGCACCACCCCAAACTTTAGGGGGAAAATCACGTATAAAATTTGCGGCTTATGCACCGGAATATACGGGAATAACAGAAAGTATCCTGTCAGTTTTAAATCAAAATTACTTTAGGTGATATTCCGATGTCTACGGTAAACTTCTTGTGACTGGTGTGTGGTGTTGATTTTTTTTTTACTTGCCTAGGCGGTATTGCTGTTGTGAGTCAAAACAGTTACATTTTACAATTCAATCACATTGGTACCATGTCTTAGAAATACTCCTCTCACATTTTGGCTTTGTAGAGTTGGCATGTCTGCAGATGTACCTGGTAAGATGTTGTGGCATTGAAAGTATGCGTTGTGCACGTAAAGTAGCATGACAGGGATACACCTCAAGGAGTAGAGAAAGATGCACAAGACTGCTGGTTTGCCATCTCGGTATTTAGTGACCAGGGAAATACTAATGCCAACGCCTTGAATATTCTCCAGATTGTGATACTGTAGGCATTATATAAATTCGAATGAAAAAACGAAAGCCAAAAAAACAATTGATCTTCCGTTAAAAGTTATACTGCAGTTATTTGGTAAATTTTATGTGAGCTTTAGTTAAGTAGTGAATAGCAATTTCATTATAGATCCAGTGCCTACAATACTGTATTATTTTTACTCTTCAAATTTTTCAGTGTCTTGCCCACTGTTAACAGTATCGATGGCAAATGCAACAGTCATTCAAGGAGAAACAGGGAAAATGTCATGTAAATTGCACCAGCCACCCGGAAATATAAATGTAACAGCTGCTGTTTTATATAGATGCAACGGAATCTCATTAGACAAAAAGAAATGTACTGAGGGGCTCATAAATTCTGAAGCTGATGAAAATCCTAAAGGAAGATATAGTGTAACTAAAAAATCTTATGAAGCTATATTTTCAATAGTAAATGCGTCATTGGAAGACTCTGGATGGTATAAATGCGTTATATATTATGGTAGTGATTTGTTCAACGCCCATGATTTTGGAAGTTTAGCGGTTTATCGTAAGTAAATTTCTGTACGTCAATTAATTTAATTTTTGTTACATTATACATTTACATTTTACCACAACATGCCTCATAATTTCATAGGCTTTATGTGCTTATGTAGCCTTTTGCAATGTTCTCTACACTTTGCAGGGTTGTCACCAGCATTTTAGAGTGGTGGTCAGCGAATACGTTAATCTTGTGCTTATCTAATGTAGCAAGCATGTCCATTGTCTGGCCAGTGAGTTGCTTAATCAACAACTCCCTACTCTAGTAGTTGTAACAAATGTATTTAGTTAGCCTACGTTTTTTTCAGCAGCCTAAAAATACAGACTCGTCGGAAATGTTGAGTGCTGGACGGGCCCGGCCACCGCCCACCAGCGTGGTGAGAACCCTGACTTGTTGATATTCTAAAACTATTGGGGAGAGTAGGCTTACTAGGCAAGCTAGTAAAATCTAAGAGCCTCCACCAATGGATTATGAACAACAAGCTAAAACTTTAACATAAAATAAAATAACATTGGAGGATAAATTACAATTATGCAATTTTCTACATTAGACAATAGGAGAAGTTTAATGTAATAATAATAATAATAATAATAATAATTTGGATTTGTAAAGCGCAAAATACATAGGTCTCTATGCGCTAGAAATTTGCAAATTAAAATAAACTAAAGAGATGAGCCTTGAGACGATTTTTAAATATCTCAACAGAAGGAGACTCACGAACAAAAATAGGCAAGCTATTCTACACCTTGGGAGCAGCAACGGAAAATGCTCTTTCACCATACGTTCTTGTACGACATGAAGGGATGAATAATGTAGATGAACTAGATGTAGATCTTAAAGCTCTAGAACAAGTGGTGGAGCGAAGTTTAATCAGGTTGGATATGTATGAGGGTGATTTATTATTTAATGATTTATATGTGAAAAGCAACAATTTAAATGAGATGCGTTGCTTAACAGGTAACCAGTGCAGGCGACGAAGAGTAGGTGTTATATGCTCAAATCTAGAAACTCCTGACACAAGATGTGCAGCCATATTCAAAAGAAGTTGCAGCTTCCTTATATGCCTTTGAGGAAGACCATAAAGTATAGCATTGCAATAGTCCAACCGAGATGTAATTAAGGCATGGACAATCTTGATAGCTGCATCATCAGTTAAGAATCTTCTAATGGTTTTGATGTTGCGTATATGATAAGATACTGCTTTACTTAATGTGCCTATCCATTGTCATTGAGGAATCAAATATCACCCCAATATTACGAACCTCATTAGATGGAATAACTGAGGTATTTCCAATGTTGATGTTTTGAATGATAGGCACATTTCTAAGATACTTCGGGTAAATAAACAGTATCTCCGTTTTATCAGGATTGAAAGAGAGCATATTTTTCGCTAACCAGACTTGGACATCTCTGATGCAAGCTTCAATAGTTAGCTTAGCCTCGTCATATCTTCCTGCACTTGGTTTGAAACTAATATAAAGCTGTGTGTCATCAGCGTAGGCATGATATTCAAGACAATGTTGTTGAATTATGTTACCTAAAGGAGAAATATATATAAGGAACAGAATGGGACCAAGAATGGGACCTTGAGGGATTCCGCATGTAAGATCAATATAGCCCGAGGTAGTGTTCCTTATGTGAACCAATTGTTTCCTTGATCTTAGATATGACTCAAACCATATAAACACTGTATCACAAATTCCTAGGGATGCAAGCCTCTGGAGAAGAATGGAATGGTCAATAGTATCGAACGCTGCAGACAGGTCGAGAAATATTGACAAGACACAGTTGCCTTTATCGAGTGCGAGCATGATGTCATTGTGCACTTTCAGGATTGCGGACTCCGTGCTATAATGCTTCCTATATGCGGATTGAAGAGGATCGAATAAACTATTGTCCTCGAGATAGTTAACTACATCAGAAGAAACGCATTTTTCAATAAGTTAAGAAAGAAATGCAATGTTCGCCACAGGACGAAAATTACCTGTAGACATGATATTTGGATCTAAGGACGGTTTTTTCAAAAGTGGTCTGACCACACCTATCTTTAAATCGTCCGGAAAGATTCCAGACGATAAAGATGCGTTGATTATCTCAGTGTAAATGGGAGTCATGATTTCATGAAAAGAAGTAAGAATATTAGTAGGGAAAGGGTCCAAGATGCAAGTTTTTCTTGGCATCCTTTGAATCATCTCACTGATATTCTCGTTACACACAACCGTGAATTTACTAAGTTCATATTTAATAATGTTTAATATTCATGTTGAGAAACAACAATTTGAAGTGAAGTAGCCAGGGAGGACGGTGAATGCAGAAGTGGTTGTCTTAAATTCTGAACTTTCTCACAGAAAAAGGTATTAAAATCCTGTGCAAGTTCCTTATCACTTACTGCAGATGGAAGTTCCTCATCATCACATCTACCAAGAAGCTTATTGGTCAACTTGAAGAGACGCCTCTGGTCTGAGCCACACTCTTTAATTTGAGTGTGGATGTAAGATGTCCTAGCTGCGTCTAATATATCATAATATACTGAGCACTGCTGTTTATAATTCATGTGGTCTGCATTTTTACCAGACTTGAGCCACATACGTTCAAGTCTGCGTCTCCTCCTTTTTGCATCTCTGCAATCATCAGTGTACCACTGAGATTTAGACCTGATTGTAATAGTCTTCTTTTTCTCTGGAGCTAACTTGTCTCTTAACATACGAAGACGAAGGTTGTAATTGCATACCACAGAATTGACATTGGCAGCAGTAGACCCATTGTTAAAGAATGTACTGAATGCAGATAATAACGAGGTCTTAAGAACATCCAATTTGATGTCCTTGAAGCTACGAAAAATTATTTCCTTTTTTAAGACGGATGATTTGGAAACATCAACATCAACCTGTAAGACGAAATGATCCGACAAATTATTTTGATGTACAGACGTACTGAGAATGACACTGGGATTATTTGTCACAATAAGATCCAGAATGTGACCAAGTCTGTGTGTGGGACTATTAATGAGTTGGACAAAATTAGTGGAGTCTAGAATATCCAAAAAATGAATAGTTTGAGGATTATCAGATTTGTCAATATGGAGATTGAAATCACCTGTTATAAGAAGGTTATCTATTAATGAATACTGTTCAAGGAGTGTACTAAACTCATCAAAAAACTGTGATGTGGTACTGATTCCACTGCTTGTAGGGGGCCTATATATGGTAATGATACAAAACGATTTAAAAGGACATCTTATCACGGTCTCACAGGCCTCAAATGAAATAAAGCCACCAATTTTACTACTTCTCATTGGTAACCTTGATAAGATTCCAACACCACCGCCACGCCTACCCTCACGCGGAAAACTATTAAAAGTATAACCTTCAGGTTTACATAATGCAATAACAGAATCGTCGTCTAGATGTAGCCATGTTTCTGTTATTGAAACAATGTCAAGAGCCTGATCAGTAACATAATCAGAAAACTGTGTACATTTATTACGTATGGACCGAGCGTTCCAAACAGCAAGCTTAAGTTTGTTATCATGCTCCGAAGATGCTTCAATGGTGGCGTTATTGCTGATCATAGATGAAGAAAGGATTGTAGAATGTTTACCTTCTCTGGTTCTCTGATATACATGTAGCTATGTATATCAGCAGAATATGTTCCAACTAATAATGCACATTTGTCAATTGTAATTTTCAAAACTGTTACATGCATGCAAAAGTCCCCGCCACCTCCCAGCAGTGCTTGATGGAAGCATTGCGCATGCGTATCACTACGCAGCATGGAAAAAGGAGACAGATTGGCAGATTGATAATAGAAAAAGAAAATAATTGATTGATTGAATAATAACTGATTGATAAAATTTAATCATTCAATATCAAAACAGAAGGCCTAAATAAGAAAATGAATGCATTACTAGTAGAAACAGGTTTCCTTGCTCACGTACTGGCACATTTTTGGCTCAACAGACTACTCACACGCACCGCCACCTCGGTCCTCAGCATTGTAAGGTTGGAGGTTCAGTTTTTTTATGTAACCATGATGGTAGACCTAAAGAACCGGTAGGTGATTCTGTTATTATCAAAACAGACAGTGTTGACTGAATGCCGGGCCCGTTTTGACAGCGCTATGCTAGGCCTACACACCCTGATCGTAGCAACCCCAACACGAATGGCACTTCAGAAATACAGTACAGTATACCGATTATTCTCTCAAACTTCATATCCTATCGCGTTGTTTAATTGTGTTTTAAGTTTAACTTTATTTATTTATTTTTTATTTTATTTATTTATTTTTAAGCGTACAGGTTTAGAATATTTTAAAATCCTCAATTTAAATTATTTAAGGTTTTCTTTTTATTTTAAATGAAAAATAAATGTAGTCGTTAATATCGATCTTGGTACAATGTAAACCTGTAATCATATGACTACTTACAGTATATACAGAATTGTACTATATTATAGGCCTAGAATAGGGCCAGGCCTCCTACTATAGTATAGAGGCTTGTTGCAAATCCTAGCCTACATAAGCCTAGCCCGTATAATGCCTAGCTCGTGATCGCGGTACCCTGACCATTAAAAATTAGCAGACGCACTGGGAAGCGTTGTTCACAGCATTGGGCTGTCAACGAAAAATGATTCCCCCATCATCGATGGAAATGGAACAGGCCTACGTCATGCTTGGCTGATTAGTTTTGATTTAGATTTCGCAAGTCTAGTGCCATACGCAGCAAAAGTCTATATCTAGTGTTGTTGTAAAATGCATTTCAAACCAGGCTGGTCTTTGATTTACATTTTGGAAGAGAATTTGGAGATCAAATCAGACCTACGTTTTGAATTTGAATTAATTTTAAAGAAATTAGAACTACATTTTGGAAAATTTGAACTACGTTTTGAAAAATTAGAACTTCATTTTGGGAAACTAGATCTACTTTTTGAGAAATTTATGCCTACGTTTTGATGAATTAGACATTGAATTTTGCAATTACATTTTGATTTTTTACATGGACTTTTGCTGCGTATGGCACCCCATACACCAAGGCCATGCCAGGAGAGGGAAACAACAAAAACACAGTGTTGTTGTAACAACACTGTACATTGGGACAACGCCGAACTAATAGCCATCGTACCATCTTGGCACTCCAGAAGGACTAGAGAAAGCATCGAAATTCACAAACAATACTGTACATCAAGATATCGGATTTGTCATTAGCGATATTTGGCTGTCCATGTTTAATTGGACCTAGCGAAGCCCCACCATTTCCCGCCTTTTGGAACTATGCCTTTGTTTCTGTCATTCCCACCCCTTTCCGGCCCTGGAACCATGCCTTTGTTTGGGCGTTCCCACCCTTTTGTTTTTGTGAACAATGGCTTTTGTTTTAGCCTTTCACTAGCAGTCTTCTCATTGGGCAGTTTATTCTTCCAATTACCATCCAGCTTTTATTTTAGCCTTTCACCCATTGGTCAGTTTATGCATCCAATCACCATCTCTACCCATCCTCTCTACCCAAACATATGAATATTTCCCTGTTTAGAGTTTCTGCAGATATTATTCTCCTGAAGACGATTGAAACAACTCAATCGAAACTCAAGACTTTCTCAACTACAACAGTTCTTTTCAGAACTACTTACATGTGCAAGCTTCAACATATATATTATTATTGTTGTTGTTCTTTAATATTGGTTTTTATACTAATTAGAAACCAGAAATTCAGACTGGGCCTTTGGAGATGTGTGGCAGCCGTAGTGCAAACTTAATTACATAACAAACTCTTAATAATAATAATAAGTGAGATTTGTAAAGCGCATAATACATAGGTCTCTATGTGCTAGCAATTTGCAAACAAAGTCAAGAATAAAATTGAATTTAATGATGAACCGATTCTTAAAAACATTTTGAATTTGTTCATGTTCACATCCTTTTTTACATGGAATTACCCTTACAGTATAGACCATAATATTACTTCAGATAAAATATTATAACCTTTTTCACACATTTTAACTGCCAAAGAGGGGTAATTTTCCCCTGCCCCCTCAATTTCATTTTTTTGGCCAGCACTGTCCCATTTTCCAACCGATTTTCTTAAAAAAGATGTCAATAGACAATAGACTGCTTCATTTTAATACCAGTATATTTGGTATTTGATACATCACCCATTTATAGCCCACCACTACTGTTTGTATCTCACAATATTCTTCAAACCTGCTATTTTTAACAGTTTAATACAATAAACTGGGGCAAAACATATCTTTTAGCTTTTACTATCATCTATAATTTTATAGGGAACATTTCTGAAATCCCAAAATACTGTACAGGGTTTTTACATCATAATTTTTGTTCCAGAAGGTCATGTCAGTGGTCAAATATTAATTTGAATTTTAATTTATTGTACTTCAATTCTGTTAGTACAGATTTGGAATCCTTGTCCAATCTCCTTTAATATGGTACTTTTTTTCCTAAAAATCAGACCAGTACATTTGATTTATTTGCATTTTAAAAATGGTAGTCACGCATAATTTTGCCCTTTTAAGCCATTTTCGGCCATGACTTTTGATCTGTTGGTCCGATTTTGAAAAAAAAAAAGAAATTTCGCTTTTTTCTTACACAAATGAATCTACATGTCAAATTTGGTCAAAATTTGAGATGGTGAGTTGTAAATCTCTCTTTTTTTGGGGTGATCTGACATGGAATGACCCATACTGTGAGTAGAATAACATTGATTAATACATTGAAATTTTTAAAACTAGCAATCGGTTGAAGCAATTGCGACACCCAATCGCAAAGTAAAATTGTGTGTGAAAGCTCACAAATACAGTAGCAGTTGATAAGTAACCGATATTGCAATTGTCACGTTGCGATTGGGTGCTACAATCTTTATTACTTCCGATTACCACAAAATCCGATCACAACGAATTCCATAGGCACTGTTTAGCTGAGATTCACTTTATAAAATACATAATGTTGGAAAAAGTATTACAGTAAACAGTGACTAAATAATAAATAAAAATTCTGGATTTATAGCGCCTCCTGTTGTCACAACCTTAAGGACTGCTAATAATGGCATTAGAACAACAGCAACATCAATTGGAACCCCATTTCAAAGTAAGTTTGTGGATTCTTTTTTATACAACTGATTATTCTTGTGTATTATTAGACTATATTACCATGGTATTATAGATAAGTGACAGAATGACTTAGTGTTTGAGAGCTCTATCCTAATCCACGCTGTCCCAAATGTTGGCATTGTCAAAGAGTACTATAGGCCTACTGAAAATAATTGTTTGCCATTTGTTGTACTGTACGTTATACAGTAAAATATGCAGACTTTATTGATTTCAATTCTACAAATTTGATTCTGCTCTTCAGATAGAGTAAGCCTATATATTTGCTTAGAGATACAGTATTAATCATCACTGGTGACTGTAGCTAATCCTAATGATATTACTTTTAAATGGGTGACTCCCTCCTGGGATTAACCATGCAGACAAGGATCCATCAATATTCACTTAAAGAAAAATGCATGATGTTGGAAAAATTATTACAGTGACTAATAATGATAATAATAATTATTCTGAATGTATATGTGCTGTGTAGTACCTCACAATGTCACAACGTCAAGGAATGTTACTAATGGATCAACAAGAAAACCAATTTCAGATGATAGTGAATCCAAATTAATAAGCATGGGTGAGTTCCATTTCGTATCACCAATGTACAGTATATGTACAATTTCATTTCCATTTCACTGCATGATATTTAACTCAATATTTATATTATGTATGTTTAATGTTCTATTAACTGTCAGTTTATTTAGCATTTAATATTTACTTCTAGGGCATTCCACAGTGTTTGGTCTGTGAGGGTTAAATTTTCATTTTCAATTATTAATATATATTTTGGCTAATTCTCAAAGAAGATACAGTATATTAAAGTTAGATGAAAACAACTTTTTTCATTATTTTGATGGATATTGTTTGAGTTATTTGATATTAAATATTAAAAATGCATATTTTGCATCACGGACGAGACATTAAAAAATACTAAATATTTCTTAAACAGTAAATCTGATAACAAAATTTAGGTGCAGACACAGTTACCTTGTATTTCCTCGATTACAAAATCATGTGTTTGGTTGAAATTTGTTGTTATTAATTTCATACTTACACATCATAATTCATAATTGTCTCATCCGTGACATTTGAGGAGGTTTTTTTTTACATACATTAGGACAGTAATGCTATGAAAAATTTAATATTCAAATTTCTCCTACTAGAGATTATAACTTAATATTTTATCAACCAATTTTTAGACGGGACACTTAAAATATTAACGCAATACAAGTTTCTTTGCTACTGACAAACAAAGGTAGCAAAGTATGTAAAATATTGCATTGATATCAGAGAATTTATCCCTATTTATATTGAAAAGTACTTTTCTCATTGGATAAAAGTGTCCTGTCCTTGACATTATGGAATGTCCCGTCTGTGACAGCACATAATTCATATTTTTTCATAAAATTACATTTACGATTTTTTGGTAAACATTTAGACAAAAACAATCTTCTGGGGATAGTATTAAACAAAAAATAATTTAATATCTCTTTTAGATGAGGAGAAATATTAGAATATGTAAACCTTTCTAAAAGTCATGTCCAAATTTTGTCCCGTCCGTGACACATACAGTTTTTATCATAAAATAAAAAATAGAACATTTTTCAATTTTTCTCCCCCAATAATTAACCATAGGCATACATGTCAACATTACTATAAGTCTTAAGGCCTGTTTATACTTCAACGATAACGATAAAAAAAAAAGCTAAAAAGCAATTGTTCATCTAGAAAATAAAAGAAGTTTTAACACTAGAACGATTTGATAACTATTTATCAGTTATGAGATAACTACATATTTTGACAAATCAAATCAGATGACGTCATAATCACGGAAAAACATTAAAATCGTAGTAGTAGCAACGATTTTATAGTTTTCCATGATTATGATGTCATCTGGTTTGATTTGTTAAAACATTTTGTTATCATATACACAATAAATCATTATCGAATCGTCCAAGTGTAAAAATTTCTCTTATTTCTTTTGTTATCTATATGAACAATCACTTTTTAGCTTTTTTTATCGTTATCGTTGAAGTATAAACAGGCGTTTATAGTCTGTATTGTTACCGAGATATAACTGGTTATATTCTCAAAAATGTCAGAATGACAAAAAGAATACTGTGGAATGCCCCTCTACTACTTTGTCTTATCAAATTTGGATATCGTTATTAAATACATTTATGCTTATAGTACAATGCTAGCCAATACTGCCTTATGAGAGACTTGAACTGTGTAGTACCGTACAGTATAAAATACAGCAGAGGACGGAATAAGATGTACATGCATAATCACGTACAGACTTGAATGTTGAAAGACGTGCCAATACGTTTAAAAACAAAAGTGAATATGTGATGTCAAATCTCTATAAACATGTTATTGTTTAAAAAAAATCCCTTGATTTTAAATTCAGACTGTGGAGGAAAAATGTTTTTTGATATGTTGTACAACTGATTTTTCTGCTTACAAAAACCATATTTGACAAAAAATGCTGTACCGGTGAATATGGTACAGATTTTTGAATATTTAAAAATTGGAGGGGAGAGGGGGGAAATGTTTTTAAAAAGAGCCACTTTTTTACTCCTGTTTTTAAATACTTGTATCTACCACTTCCAAGTTTTTCATCAAATATGCTTTTTGTGTCTTAAAAATAGTCAGTTGTACAAGCTATCAAATTTTATTTCCTGTAGAGCCTGGTGTTAAGTAGGCCGTAATATTGTTAAATACGGAATTGTGTTGATTTAGTGTTTGATTTTCTATTCACTAACAGTTTTGATTGTGATAGCCTGTTTGGTACTCTTATGTGGTAAGTTTAAAAGAAATTTAATAAAATTGTTAAAAGAAAATTTGAGGGGTCACATGTGGAATTTTATATATATATATATATATATATATATAAAACCTTTTTGTGAGCTAGCCTCTCTTCCCCCCCCCCCCCTCCTCACCCACCCCCCCCTTCCCCCCCCTCCCCCCCCCCACCCCACCAGCCTCAATCATCAGATGATGATTGAGGCTGTGCCCTCATGAAACAGTCTGTAGTGCAAAATAAAATCGTAATATGTATTTTTTCAATATTAATTGTGTTTTAAAAATTTAGTGGTTGATTTTCTAACAGTTTTGATTGTGGTTGGCTGCTACTGCGTACCGTTTACATGTAAGTTTGAAACAAAATTTTTTACTAACATAAAAAAAAGAACATAAAGGATGCATAAATGTATTATATTTCGGAATAGTATTGCCTTGCCCTGTCGAGAACATATTGATCTCTTTTTAATTTTTTATTTTGAATATATATCGTCGTATTTTTACCCTAGTAGCCAGACCAGGTTTTGTATGCACTTTGAGGTCCAGAGAATTTGACTTCAGAAATTGGTTTAGGGTGGTCCAAGAATCATTTTTGGCTTTTGTAACACATTTTCAAAATGTGGCAAAAGTTCAAAATGTCAGGGTCAAATGTCATAGCTATACGGTCGTCTTATCTCCGCAACCACTGGTGGTAGAGAGCTAATGTTGGTGCCTATTTGTTCAGAACATTCATGTTTGTATTTACTCTAATGGAACATTTTGCTAAAAAATGACCGGAAATGCTGTTTCTAACCTTTGACACGTTTCAAGGTCATAGCAATAGGGTCATTATATCTCCACAACCACTGGTGGTAAAGAGTTAATTGTGGTGTCAATATGTTCGGAACATTAATTTTTCTATTTGGTCTAATAGAAAAGTTTGCTAGAAAATTATCGGAAATGCTGTTTTTGACCGCTGACATGTTTCAAGTGTCATAGTTATTGAGTCCTTATTATTATTATTGCAATAATTTGGTATCAGTTAAAGGACTTATTCGGAGATGTGCTGTACGCCTAAATTTGGCTCTATATTAGAGGTAAAGCAGTGCAAAATCAGCAGACCAGCTTATGTACAGTATGTCATGTGGCATTAGTGTGAACTCTCGTTCCATGGACACCCACTAGTCCAAAATTTTTCAAAATAGGAAAGGCGAGCAAAAGGCAATGCATGGTCAAATTAGTAATGCATCTCAGATGACACTACACGATTGTATACCCCATTCAGACTAGCTTCGCATTGCGATCGGTTGTAGCAATTGCGACACCCAATCGCAAAGTAAAATCGTGTCTGAAAGCTCACCAATAGTTGTCGATAAGTAATCAATTTCGCAATTGTTACCTGTTGCGATTGGGTGCTACAGTCTTTATTACTCCCGATTACCACGGAATCCGATCTCAACAAATTACAACGGATTCCACGGACACTGATTGGCTGAGGTCAATCGACATGAGCCAATCAGTAATGTTGTTTACAATGTCGTCATTTTGCCAATAAACCCGCGCGAACACTCGAAAAGTTTTGAAGGCCTACCTACCAGTGATAGTATTATATATACGACGATTAACTAATCAAAAAATGGTTATTTCAACTTTTAATTTTATACGTGAACGGGCTATCATCAAGCGCCGTCGTAAACGTGAGATGTTACAGAAAATCGCTGTACTTGTGTTTACTTCAAGTCTAGCCAATATAGGTAAGTGGCAATTATTTGCTGTCTACTGTGCACTACTACTAGGCCTCACTATTCATGGATAGCCTAGACCTGGTATACTAGTAGTCATGCGCCTCTATATAGGTAGATTGTATACTATTATTATTATTATTATTATTTATTATTATATCACATAATGTTTACACATTTTTATAGCGAAACTTAGTAACTGATTCTATTGTGTTAATTATTTATTTATTTAGCAATGCTTGGTGGAGATCGTGTTTGAGCCCTTCCAAGGAACACTGATTGGTTGGCCAATGACTCGTCAAACTGGATGAATGATGACCGCTGCTACCACCATTTTAGGATGAACAGAGCACCATTCGACCATTTGTGTGAATTACTGAGGCCCCACCTACTAAAGGATGAGACACAAATGCGTTTAGCCCATTAGCCCCGAAAAAAGGATCGCCATCACCCTTCACAAATTAGCCAAACACACAGATCTTGGAACGTTGTTGGAAATGTATGGAGTGGGTGTGTCAACAGTATGTACAATTCACTTGGAGGTTTGTTATATTATTACTAAATTTGTCTTCTTTTGTGGATGAATGGTTATTGCATGTTTATATTATTTACAGCACTTTACAACATATTATAAACTATTGATTTGTAATGTAAAAAATTCTCTGAAAGTTAAAATGTTTATAAATATATTTTTTATTAAATAATAATAATAATTTATTTTATTTTCTCTGGGTATGCAGAAAATATAGATTTATATATTTATTTTATTACGATTATTTAATGTATGCTTCTAGTATTATGATAATTCCCAATTGTATCTTATAGGTTTGTAATGTATAAGGTGCTGACGCCTATATATGCACCTAAACCAAGCACAAATGAAATGAAAGACATTATTAATGGCTTTGAAACAATCTGGGGCGGTAGCATTGATGGATGTCATATTCCAATTTTACCACCAACAGAATATCACACAGATTTCTATAACTGGAAGCAGTGGCACAGTGTTTTACTACAAGCAGTAGTTGACTACAGATATCGCTTCATCGATTTTGATGTTGGTTGGCCGGGAAAATACCACGATGCATGGGTTTTTGAGCATTCACAAATAGGTCGTACCATAGCTCAGGGTAGATTCTACCCAGAGTTAACCAAACAAATTGATGGTGTAGATGTACCTGTTGTTCTTGTTGGTGATGCAGCATATGCTCTGTCTAAAAACAGGATGAAACCATATCCGGAGGCAAAACTCACCCCTGACCAACGAGCATTCAACTTCATACAAAGTAGAAGCAGAATGGTTGTAGAAAATGCATTTGGCAGATTAAAAAATCGATGGCGTTGCCTTATAAAACGCAACGACAGCAAAACCTCTAATCTGCAATACATAATATGTGCATTCATTTTACTGCACAACTTCTGTGAAGCATGGGGTGATCCTGTTCCTCAAGATGATGAAGATGAACCAGAAAATTACATTCAACCTCCAGTTGTACAGTACCTGTAGTAGATGTAGCAGCCGCGCCCGTAGCTATACGTGATGAATTTTGCAGACATTTTGCTGCTGGAAATTAAGACCAAAAAATAATGTGATCCAATATCATAGAGAAATATGTGGTGTTTTTGTTTTCTCATTTTAAACGAATTGGTCTCGAAAAATTAATATAAAACAAAAAAAAATAATATTTGAGGCAATGCATTCATTTTAATCTTTAACAAAACACTACTGAATAAACACTATTCTGTTCTGATCTGTTGAAGATATGGTGTAGCAGTTTAAAATTTACATACAGTTTGGATCAAGTAACAGTTAACTTCAAACACCTTTATTTAAATTAATAATATATTTGTACTATAGAAATTCACACCTAATTTGTATATGGCTCAGTGTAAAACTTCATTAATGAAATCTATACAAAAAGCTAATATAACACTGTTGTCAAAATATTATAAAAACATTACAAATGTCAAATATAGTAGCACCTATGAATGACTGCAATGCCTTTAAGTATATATTTCAAAAACGATATTAACATTATGTCAAGGTTGGATATTAGTAAAAACAACTAACTGATACCAAACCTCCCTTGTATACCAAAAAAAAAAAATTACTACCACTATATCGTGTCCTGTTCTATAATTACTACTATTTTTTATTTAATTGTCATAAATGTCAGAAGCAACTGCATCTGCTCAGCCCTTTGTCGATCTTCACGCTCCCTATCCTCTTGTCTTCTTCGCTCATCCTCTCTCTATCTTCCCTTCTTTGCCTCTCCTTTCGTTCTCTCTCTTCTACTCGCCGCTGTTTGTCTCTCTCCCTCGCCTTTTCTTCGCGTTCCATTCGTCGCTCTTCCATCTGGATCTGCCATTCCATCCTAAACTATTCGTGATCCATTTCCATCTTCTTCAGTTCTTGTTGCCATGATTTGTCTTTTTCATCGGACTCTTGATTCTGCTTTACCATCACTTTAGGATGTTGGAGGGTTCATCTAGCTTCTCTAACGCCACTGCTGCCTTCCTTTTCTTCTCTGTTAAGTAATGAAATTCAAAAGTATACAATACACTGTAGTTACAAAAGTGCCTGGTATACATAGTATTATTAGTATTTACAGCCAAGTGATTTGTTTTTAGTTATAGTGAACAGTCTGACAACAGACTATTATTTGAACAAAATCCATTAATCGTGATACACCTTTCACAGATTGACAAATATGAAAATAAATCATTGTTGTGAGATTATTACATGTTGTACATTGATACTGTGACTGGATTCCATTGAAAATTTACTTTCTATTTCCAGCTGTAGGTGAAACATGTTTTATTTTCGTTTCATTCTTATTTTCACTGGAAACTGAGGCATTTTCTACAGATGATCTACCCGGACTAGACTCTTCAACTTTATCATTAACAAGAGACACCATGTCTTCTGAAATACAAAAATGAATTTAAATGAAGTAATTAATTGTTTTCTCTACTACAAAACAAAGATTACACTGTAAAATATCAATGTGTATGTAAATAATCATAATATTGATGTATTATGATGAAATAAATATGATAGGTTTATAAAAACAATTATAAAAAAATCTTTGCAGTTGAACTGCTTCATAAGACAACTAGTAGGCTATAGTAATTTTTATGTTTATTTTATGTTTGATTACAAATATGTAACCATTGCATGAGTTACATACCTAGATTATTAATAGAAATACCATACTGCATGTAATACAATAATTAACTATAAAGTAGGGTTATGTTACCAGGTGTTAGCTCTGACATGACGTCGTCTTCGGTATTGAAGACCATGCTATCAGTACTTCCTTCTTCAACCAGCGTGTCCCTGTCTATATGGTGGCTTGTATTTAGCCGATTCATTGGCCTCTTTCCTTAAAGCAAATTAACACTACAGCATGTGAGCATGTGGTTTGGGTCTGGGGAGAGGGTGAGGAAATTGTAAATACTAAAAAAGAAGTTTGTGCCATCAGGATATTTTATAACTCAGCATTTACCACTCATTTATTACCACCACTCAGCACGATTACATTCGTCGCTGGGGGCAGGGACCACACCACCCCATCATCGGCCTATCTGCGCTGCTGAATACTGAATAGACCAAGCATAAAATAACCAAAAGAAATAGGCCTAGGGCCTATACAATGGCTCAGGCCTAACCCTGGTCACTGTAAAAAGTAGGCATGCACATGGGGAGGGCATGGTGGATATCATCCGCGCAAAAAACAAAGGCCAAGCTTGGAGGAGGCCCTTTGCTATATTATAATATCCGACCGTTCCGGAAAAAGTAGGCCTACTCCTCATCCTACTTCGGTCCTACTAAATACCGCACGGAACACACGGGACCACTCAAGACCACACGGGTGCAAAAATGATTAAAATATTACCACACGAGAGTATAAAACTGCTATATAATCAATAAAAACCAACTTTTATAATGGCAATTGTCCAAAATATGGTAAAAATGATTTTTTTTTAAACAGGTTTTTCCGCGTTGCTTCAGACATGACATCTACCACATTCATTACGTATGTTACTTCATCCTGCGTGTATGCCTATTGTATGTATAGGCCTAAGTATTCTACAATAACTGCTTTGTATTTGCATACTTAAGTGTTTTTGACTCTTATTATTTTAATTTTAATTTTTTTTTATTTGTATTGATTCTGTAGTTATGTTTAAACCCAGAGACAAATCTAGTTAACTTCTTATGAATAATGTTTTTAAAGATGGTATTTTGAGATATTTATATGAAAATAAATAAAAAATAAATAGATGGCAGTTTGAAAAAAAAATAAAGGTTAAAATTAGTGACATAAATACGTTTATTACTTAAACGAATATCTCGGTCGTTCCTACAATAAACCTTCTTTAAACACTTTATTAGCATAAACAATAAGGGCGTAGGCCTAAATATAAAATAACAAATGGTTTATATACCGTAGCTGTACAGAGCTGATGCATGCTAATTAGCAGAGATTACTTATACAATATACTGTACATGAATTTAGGAATTCTGAATTTAGGCCAA